GTTATATTAGAAGTAAAAGTTTTGCCTGCCTGTGAAAACCAGTTGTCCTCCTGCTGAAAACTTAAAAGAAACCCCCATGCCTATCACACCTCTCACTTACTTTTTACATTTAGTGTTCTCTTTTCAGGAACTTGCTCCCCAGAGTAGTTGAGTAGCCATAAATTATAGCCAATTTCTGCTGTAAAAAGGATTGTCAAAACTACAACGATGCAATACTTACGGCAGTTTCATCCTCATGAACACCCTGCATGTGAAGAAAGAGACTAGGACGCACACAAAACCCAGGAATAGCAAGAGGAATCTGTTCAGTTTAGACATGCCAACAGCATTGGATTTATCCAAGATAATGAAGCCCAGACCACCCATGGAGAATAGAAAACTTGATGCCAGACCCTCCATGATGTACTGACCATTTACACGGTATGGCATGAAGGCAACCTGTGAGAAGTAACAAGACAAAATCTCATGTCTATGTTAGACGACTTATAACTTAGTAAGGTGCCACAGAGCAACTCAGATAGACATATTTGAATCATGCTGTTTCAAGGCATTGGTTTGTTATACCTGATAAACTCCAGTACAACTTTTTAGCATCTAAGTTAAATCATTCTTGTAGCTAGGGGGTTTCATTTAACATTTTCAAAAGGATGGCAAATAAATGTTGACAGCAGCATTCACAGTGGGTCAATTTGTCCAGCATTCAAGGACCCTTAATGAAACTTCTGGGAACTTCTCTTTCACTGGGACAATGTCATGTTAAATTTCTCTTTATGTTAAAGTCACAAAATTGTTAGTTCCTTATTCTTAGTCTAAGTCTATGTTTGAGCCAAGGGGCCCATCAGTTCACTCAATCCGAAGCCCAGCAAAATAATCATTAGTCAGACCATTGTGCTGTCCTTTGCTGGCAACTAATAAAAACACTTTGTGCATTTTTCACCTGTTCAAAATGTCTCAAGTGAATGTTTAATTTTTTCCTTTTGGCTGACCAATATAAATGACATACACCTAACAGAATATAAATTTGCTGAGTTGTTTCTGTCATTGGGTCATCTCTGTCTATGAAAGATGTGAATGTCAGGATCAATATTCCCACTAACATTGAAAAGGATCCAATAAGTGCTGCATTAAAAATTATTCAGTGTCTGTGTCTAAACTAAAACTTACTGGTTTACTGTGACCAAACTCATCTGTTGTGCTTCCCACACTTGGTGGTTCCACGATCACATCATAGATGATACCTGCAAGGTAGACTTTGTCAATACTCCCTACAAACTTCATGCAGTCAAATAAATTATATTTGCAGGTGGTTTATTGCTGTAATAACAAGAAATCGTGTGGTATGGTACACAGTCGCAGACACTTCAGAAATTCAGACTCGGAGAAAGTAAAAGTTGTCCCAAAAGGCAGACGCTACGTTGAAGTAGATTCCCACCTGTTTATATTAATCACCGACGGAACCTGTATCTTCTTCAACAAAACCCAGCAATAAACCATCTGCGAGTAAAATTTGTTTGCCTGCAAGTTTTCTATGAGCAAGTCATTAATGAGGGACAGTTGAGTTGACAAAATTATCACTCTTGGAATTGCAGTCCACAATGTACAATGTTCCCTTTCAAGAGCAACATAAGCATAATCATGTTCAACCAGCGAATAGTCAAGACGACTCATTATATTTTTTTAGGTACTCAGCAGCTGAAGAGCCAATTTGTGTGGAACCCGTCTTGTAAACCATTACTATTGTCATTATATTATCATTATTACACGTGCAAATTTTATGACAAAATGCAAAATAAGCCAATCAGAAAAATACAAAAGGAATGGATCAAATAATCAGATTCACAAGGCATTATGTCCTGCCCAATTCCTAGAAAAAAACGGGAGCTACAAAAACTTATCTTTTAGACTATAAATCAATCAGTCCCTGAGTATTTCGACAAGTTAATCAGCCTTTTACTTTTATTTGTTATTATTATTAAGCTTATATCCTTCAAAGTGAAAAAGAAAATATTTTACTTACACTAAATGTGCATTTAATTAGTTAATTTTGAAACTACTACAAGAAATTTACAGAGGAATATTCTGCATTGATGTGGGCTCAATCATATTAACGCTCATTTAATCTTTTTCTTAGTGCCACGTAAGCTTGTATCTCCAGCTAACCTAGACATGTTAGTCGCATCA